AATTTTATTTGTGAAACTGATACTATTTGCGATTTTTTTTTTTAAAAAAAAAAGGGAATCCGTCCCGAATTGCGCGAAATAATATGATCTAACGATTTTTTTTTTTTTGCTACATTATTTATGATCGCCAGTGTAGTTCGTATTTTTTTTTTAAAAAAAAAAAAACAGAACAAGAATCGAACTGAGTGCTTATCGCTCATTTTCCCAGTTACCATTTTTTTTCGGGCAGATTCGAATCTCCAAGTACTATTCATGTTATGACCGCTCTAATAAATAAAAGATCTACAAAGAGAAAATTAGCTTCTATTTTAAAAAGAGAGAAGAAATGAATGAATGAAATTATACTTATCCAAGTTATCATTTCTCGTCCAGATCCGGATCTCCAAGCATCAATCGCGTTTCAGCTGTTTTAACAAATCCGAAACTAGAAAAAAGAAAAACGAACTCTAAATTAAAAAATGTAACTTGTACTTATCCAAGTTATCGTTTCTTGCCAAATATCCATTTCACATTCAACCATTCTAATAAAGATCTACAAGAAAAGAAAGTGGTATTTCATCCATAATATAATAAAAAATTTGTTAATGATAAATGATCATTAAGTAAGTACAGCTTAATTTATTTTTGTTCGTAGTATACAAAGCTCCCTTTGCAGAATAAGAATCGTAACCAGTTCTTTATATAGAACTAGTAGACCTCACTCCAGGAACTACATCAAACTACCAATTATGTGCTAGAAATTCGACCTTCTTGACAACCACATCCTCCGGAGTTCAACTGGAGCAGCCCCCCACCCACTCATCTTCAAGAGATCTTCTCCAAAAAGAAAGTGCTACCTTGGTGATGCCAGTTTCTGGTAGCAGTTTCTCCTTGAATACGACCATCCAACTCGAGAAGAAGCATCCGTCCATGTTTGCCCACCCAGCCTGCAAACTAGCACAAATAGAAAGGTAGCCCGAAGGATTTACAACTTACGAACTACTAACAAAATACTTACTTCATTTCTAAACTTTTTCAACTTTTTCTTTTGGAAATGTGGCTTCAACACGTAACATAGGCACTGTGAATACCATTCCGAATAGTTAAAAAAAATTCGCGTCAGTACAAATATAGGGGATTCTTAAAGCCATGCACACTTATACAAACCCAAAAAAGGGAAACCCAAAAAAAGGGTCGTCTAAATCAGAACCCCAGTATAGTGATTGGACCTAGATTGGACCTCATAGACAAACATTCGTTTGATTGGCTGATGTAAATCAATTGCCCGGGTAACTTATTTATACACTTTAAAGTACTTTTTAGAAATGTAACGTTTCACTAACAAAGATTCGCCGTAAAAATCATCTTAAGCTTCAAACGAACGCTAATCTTGACTTTACAAAATAATCCCAAATAATCTCGAATAATCTCTAAATTTGACAGACTTTACTTAAAAGGCGAAATTTACTTCTCGTTTATTGGACAATACGAAGTTATTTCATAAAAACACTGTATATGGTCAAAAGGTAACCAAAAAATACGTTTTTTAACGACTCAACTAAGTTAATCTAAATAGCCACTACTAACCGTTTAGCTTGGTATAGTAGGCGCAAGTTTATTACAATGAAAGAATCGGGTTTTATATTTAAGTTTGTTTGGTTTTGTAATGTTCATGGATCTATTGATCGTAGATAATAGATTTGAGTTTATTGATAATAAAACATTTAAAGTACTTGGTTTTGGTAATAAAACATTGTTTCTCACATTTCATTCATGATATATTTTAGTCATATAACATAAAATTTTGTTCTTGTTTCTTTTGCACATATTCTCTTGTTTTCTATACTGTATAATATTGCAAAGCGAATATTAAAAATAATATAATTTGATTGGTTAATTATCATGGGTAATCACGGGTAGATCTACAAAAATTAACCAATCAGACAAATGTCTTCCTATGAACAGGACAGAACGTCCCAAATAAGAGGGATCGCTAAAGCGGGGCAACTATTAATCTGACAGTTCTGGGTCGTGCAGATCAATTGGCACAAGTTATATATAATCAGCCATGCAATATCGATATATCAATATAAATTTAAAAAAATTTTTTTTTAGATTATTAATTATCGGCTTAAAGTATAAGTCTCTGCGAGAATATCACTTATACGGCGAACTGGTGTTTGAGGTAGGTTTTGGGTGTTATAAAGCAAAAGAAAAATGATTCAGGAAACTTATAACTAATAAATTTTTGTAATAATAAACTTTATATCAAGAACTCTGCAACCGGCAAATAAACTTATACATATAAAAAGAACTCTACAAATAAGTGAGTTCTAACAAAAAAAAAAAAAAACTCCTGCAAATGAGTAGCTTTTAGTTGTGACAAAAACCTACGGCAAATAGCAAGAACGAACCATGGCAACAGCAAGAACAAACCTACAGCAACAGCAAGAACAAACCTATGGCAACAGTAAGCGATTAAACAGCAAACAAGCAATTTCCGGCTATAACAAAACTCCACGGCACGTGCGAAAAACAGTTTTGCAGCAAATAAATTAATTATAAAAAAGAAAAAAAAAAATTAAAAAAAAAAGCAAGAAAAAAAAACCCCCCAAAAAAATACATATAGTAACAACAAACCTTGGTCAATTATAACTCTGTGGCCACCACTATAGCAATGTCAACCATCCGAGAACGTTTTTTTAATGTGAACGAAACATTTAACCTTTCTATTGAGGACTTCAACAAGCAGTAGGCACTTGTTAATATCTTTTGGACAAGGCTCAATGGTTATATATTAGATAATGGTGATAAGCGTAAAACTTTCGTTTGTAGACTTTCAAAACCTAAGGAATCAAGCAGAAGAAAAGAAAACCTCCCTTCTGAAAAGCTTTGCATAACCTGGAAAAGAGACGCTGTAAATTTTGAAGCTAAAATCAAAATAACGTGGTTAGCGGCATCGAATATGGTTACAATTGAAAGGGTAAGAATAAGGATAGCATTATTTAAACCATTGTAATGTAATATTTTTTATTACAATAAATTAAAAAAAAATTGTTTATAGGTAAATGGTGCCTCTGATCATAGCTATTTGATAGAAGAAAGTGACATGCATAAATGGTCAAAATTTATTAGGGATATGGTGGGCAATGAGGCAATTAAGAACTACAAACCCCTGACAATTGCAAATGTTGTTAGGAAAGAGGTTTCGAAATTGTATAAATATTCGGGCGTGGAGTATCTAAAAACAAAAAAAGTCACTAATATCAAGCAGAAACTTGTTGGTTCGATGAATTCACATATTATTGGAAATATGAATTTAAAATCTAATTTTTTAAGTACAACCGAATTTTTAATAAAAAATAATTATCAAGTTGAGTCTTTTCAAAGGCAAGAATCACTTGAG